ATTCCAGTGAAGGATGAATAAAATTCAACTTACTCTTCAGTACTTACTCTCAAGTACTACTTTAGCAGACGTGTGTGCAAAAATATCGAATATCACTTGCAATTTTGTGATATCAGTTCGATATATCAGACACACTTTGTTTAATTATTATTATTTGCAAGTGATGTTCTACAAGCATAAAAATGATTTTATACAATTCACTATCGGGAAAACATCTTGATTCACCTTTTCAGCAACAATATTACAAATTATTTAAATCAATATAATGCAATAGTTTGTACTTCTCTTATGTATTAATTGAAATTAATTTGTTTTTTACTATAATTTCATAAATAGTAAATCAAAATATTTTATTATCCTTTAAATAAGACTATGAGGAAAGGTTTCTCCAAGTTCTTGTTATAAAAGTAATATGTCTATATTTGGTTTCATTTTTTGTGCAGCCACTTTTCGTGTGCTGAGATATATTGTTGTTAATTTGCTATTCTGATGACTGCATTATCCTCAGCGAATGTTTTGTTTGAATATCATTTGTGTAAGGGATATACAGAAGGGTCCTAGCATACACCCTTGAGGAACTCCTAAATTAATGGTATTTCAGATAGGACTCTAGTTCTGAAGAGTCTGTTTATCAGATAGCATTTCAATAGCAAATATACCTCAAGGAAAAGTTACTTATTACAAAATTATCTTTTTTACAACACTTTGTGGATGTTGTTAGCTGGTATCATTACATTTTTAAATTACATTTCTAGTATCAAGAATCATGTGTTTTCCCTGTAGCGATATTGACTGCATGCACATTCATTCTTATTAATGATAACTCTTTAATTAATACTACATTAACTCGATATAAATACAATAGTCACTTTACTCTAAAAATTATTAAACTAATTATCCCATAATTGCTTTAATTAAATTTTCAAAATACATTTTCTCAATATTTATACCTTTGTTCTGTTAATGTAATTATTTTCTTATTCGAGTTGATGTAGTTTGATTAAAGTTTTGAAGAGTTGATTTGAATAAAACAAAATATAGTCATCATTTCATTCAATATTTAAATTTAAAGATTTTTTCATTCGATTTCTAAATGATTCAAAATATATAAGTAATTTTTAAAGTATTTAGAATGCTAGTGTGTTCCATGATTTTTTAATTTTCATTTTTAAAGTTTTGTTGAATTCAGATCAACTATATTTGTTTGTGTCTCAATTAATTGTAAAGGTTTCATATATTTCATCCAGTCGTATCAACAATTATGATTCGATTAATATCATTTTTAGGATTTGATCAACATAGTATCATCTATAATTGAATAATTCTTTCAAATAATTTTTTCTTCAAGTCCAATATTATCTGAATCCTTTTCGATTAAGACTGCATGAACATTCTTATTTATGGATAACACGATTGTTGGTTTTGATCAAATTCTTTAAAATGCTCCATCTGACTTTCCGAATTGTTTATTAAATGCAGCAATTTCATCGTAATTTTATATTAAATTTATTCTATCATATCGCTGCACAGCTAAATTATAGATTTTTATTCTTTTATTGCTAAAAACAATTTTGATCAAGACTTGCAATCAGAGTTTCAAAGAGTTGACTTGAATGATTATACGAAACATAATTTTGTTTAAAAGTTTATTATTCGATTCAAGTTGTAAAAATTATTTAACTCAATTTCTAAAGAATAACAATCAGCTTTAAACAGTTTTGAAGTTTTTAATGTTCAAGTTTTCGAACATTTTTCATTATTTCATTTTACAAGTTTTATTGAATTTCTTTTATGGCTTTTTCTAATAATTTGTATATTATTCAAGTCAACTAAATTTGTTTTTGTCTCGATTAATTGTAAAGGTTTCACATGTTTTATCAAGTCGTATAAACAATTTTGATCGATTAATATTATTTCATTTCATCGATTAATTAAATAATTCTCTCGAATAATTTTTTTTTTCTAAGTCCAAATTTTCTGATTATAATTCTTTCGAATATTTTTTTTTTTTCTAAGTCCTTTCAGATAATTTTTTTTTCTAAGTCCAAATTTTCTGAAACCTTTTCAATTAAGACAGACGAGTTATTTATGCATGCTGTATTATCCCAAAGCCAACATTCGAATGAATGAGGCTCACATTGAATATTTCACAACGAGAAATTTTTATTGGGACAAAGTTAAAATTTTTAACTAAGTCCCAGTAATTTTTTCTCGTTGTGAAAATTTCAACGTGGACTTTATTTCATTCGAGTGTTGGCTTTGGGAATTGGTGTGAGGGAACACTAAAAAACATAAAAAAGTTTCAACGCTGAACAGAAAAGAAAAAAATTGATCTGGGACTTAAGGGTTTTTTTTAGGCTCTCCCCCTCCCCCTTCCTCCTCCTTCTTTTTCCCTTTTTTTTCCTTTTTTCCGCTTTTTTTACATTTTTTTTCCTTTTTTGGTGTTTTTTTCGCATGTTGTGGTTTTTGGGTAGATTTTTGGGTTCGGCATGCATTTTCCGCGATGTGTCTCTCTGCGTGTGACCTCTCGCATCATGGACCTCAGGTTGACCATCACTTGGTGTGTTCGTTTCAGGACCCTTTGCGCTCGCCAACAGCCATTCACCAGCACTGCTCCATTTTTTCTGCTTCAGAGTTCCTTGTCGTCGCCTTCAGCCGGACTCGATCCTGCTCACCTTGTGCCTCCAGAGTGATTTCACCGAGTGTGCGGTCCCTTAAACCACTCGGCTATTTGAATTATTGATGATAAAAGTTATTTTTATTCCTATATTGTATTAATATTGAATTTTAATAAAGAATATGTATCATACACATCTCTCTTATTCATCACCCTTGTCTACCCTTCTCTTTCCCCAGTTCTTCCTCCGCCTTCGTCATTTTCTCTTTATGTATCTCTCTTACAGTCAAGTGCGAACTTTGAGTTTTTGTTTTTCAGAAATATTCTAAGTGTCAAGGTCGAAATGCGCCACCTGAATTTAATATTTTGAACTAATATTTGACGATTCCGAAAAACTAGGATTCGAATTTTTCAGCCCGAGTCTTTGGGATTCGATCCGAGGGACCTTTAGCCAGTCAACGTGATGTCGACGACTAAACGCTCTCGGCTATGCGATTGCTAAGGAATCCGTACTTTTTTGGAAACGCTTTTGTCTAATTCGGGAAGGACTGTTGAAGTTCGACAGCTCCAAGTATTTTGCGAAGACCTTTGCATCAGGCGCTCCAATCTAGTTATTTAAATTTAATTAACCTGCCATCTGAATTTACTTTTTTGAACTAACATTTGATAATTTCGAAAAACTTTACACCAGTTATTTTTCATCTACATACAATTACTTCTTCTGGGATCGATCCGGAGAATATGCAACTACAACGACGACCACTTAACGCTCTCGGCTATTTAGTCGTTTGCTAATAACTATTTTTAATGGGAATGCCTTTTGTCTATTTCGAGGATTTAAAGATTTTTGAAAATTGAATATCGGTATTACGTCTGGAACTTGCACTGTTCTATACATTCTAATGCAACTAGTTTTTATCTATTATCTGAAGATTCGAACTACAGCACCATCGGACTGGATAACCGCTGTTGCTACTTAACGACCTCGGCTATTCATTTCTTAAGCGAAAAAAAATTAATGGGAAAGTCTTTTGTCTAGTTTGAGGTACTGAACTTTATGAAAAATAAATGGTATTGTCTTTTTTATCGTTTAGGAGATTCGAACTACAGAGTGCATCATCTAACAAATGCTACTAAACGACCTTGTCCACTTAGTTGTTACACAAAACATATGTTTGAGTTTTCATAACGACTTCTATTTTGTCTTTGATATCTTGCTAATTTTCCAACCACAACTTATAGTTTATTTTCTTACACTTTCATTCAAGTCAACGGAAGGACAATGGATCTATTATGGACAACTGGATAACTTGAACTACCACGAGGATTGGGATTCGAACTGGGTCACTCTGGACTCGATGATATGAGTTAGGTCCTTTAGCCGATTTGGCTACCAAGATGCAAAATGGCCGTCGACTATATGGGAGGACACTGAGAATGGATTTCTGGCCAATATGGGGGTGAAAAAATACTGGAAATTGAAAAAGTTGCCGGAGGGGTTGCAGAATGATGGCATACGATTCTTCAGGGTTGTGCGGAATTTGAGCGGGAGTTTTCAGGGGGGACAATTTTGTCCATTTTTTGCTCAGAACACCCCAAAATGATGCTTTAAAAATTTAATTAACCTGCCATGGCAGGATGAAACGTTTTTGATGGGAATGCCTTTTGTCCATTTGCGATTTGGATAGCAACCGTGCCATGGTAACCGTCGCTAATACAAAATTTTCAGTATTTTCAATTATTTTGCGATTTTCGTTGCCTGGAAACTGTTGCTAGCTGGTACTGTTGAAGTTTGACAGCTTTAAGTATTTTGTGAAGACCTTTGCATCAGGCGCTTCATTCTAGTTCTTTAAATTGTGTTTACCTGCCGCCTCGCACTTATTTGCTGTGCCATATTAATTTAAATGCCATCTACATTTAATCCTTCGAACTAACATATGGTAATTTTGAAAAACTTAGAGCTTGTTTTTCACTTACAAACGCGTGTCTTTTTGGGAACCTCCAACTACCTCGACGTCGACTTAACGTTCTTGGCTATTCTTTGCAAAATATATGGTATTGATGGGAAAGTCTTTTGTCAAATTCGGGAAACTAAACTTTTTTCATGCATTTAAATTAAAAACCTGACTCACTGAAAATAAACATACCTATAATAAATATTAATAAAACAAATATTTTTGAAAGATCAAGTATTTAATTAACAATAATTATTATTACACATATTCTATACAAATCTACTTATCATATAAACATTTGGCAATTGTTAAGTGTTAAACCCTATAATTCCTTTGGCCTTTTAAATGCATAACTTCAAAACTAACAATTAAGTACTCAATATTATAATATAAAAATATATTATAGATATAAACCATCAAAACTTAATCTCAAGTCTCAATATTAAAAATAAACAAAATTAATATCTCAGTTTATACATAGTCGTGTGTTCATTTCGCCTTTTGATATGTCACGATTCACAATTGACAAAATTGAGTTTTTCTCACGTCCACCTGGAAATAGAAAAAAAATATAATTAGAGCTTACTCTCTTATCTTACTACTCTTAGTATTTAATAATAATGCCATTCACTCCATTTAGCAAATTTATCAGATGATATCTAACACATGTCTTTTACTCTTATCTAAAATCTTATCTTATACCAAATCTGACCTCAGGCTGGTCGTCCTTGTCTGACTGACCGATCTATTTCTGCGAATCTGCTGTCTCGCCCTCGCGCGGCTCTCGCGCTCGCGTTTGCTATCGTTGTCCCTTTTCATCATCGAGCATTCCAAATCTGCGAGGAAAAGATAAAAGATGAAAAAAATTAATAAATTAACTTATCTATAAATCTTCATAGCAACTACAGACCCTAAAGCACTTGATAAACTCATAATTAGATAAAAATTGGTTTCATCCAAAAGAGGTTTGACACAATCACGAGAGTGTATATTTATCTTTTACCTGAATTTTAAAAATAATCCAAAAATCCTTAAAAAGAGATCACATGATTTAAGGACCTCTCCTCTACAGTATACTTTATTTATTTCTAACATATTTTTTTTTCTGTTTATTCATGATATACTTTGTTATTTTACAATTCAATTGATTTATTTTGAATAACTATAATTTATAAATTAATTAATTAACAAGTTAAGAAAAATTACTTTAATAAAACGAAAAGACTCTACCGACGAGCAACCAGAAATTTGAGCAAGAAAAAAAGGAGTCTACTGACGAGTCAACCTAAAATTTTTTTAGGACTTTACTGTTAAGCAAACTAAAAAGTATTTCGAACGAAATAAGAAAGACTCTTACGAATAAACTGAAAAGTTGCTGAAATAAAATGAAAAACGACTCTACTGACGAGAAAACTGAAAATTTGCTCAAATAAAATGAAAAGGACTCTACTGATGAGCAATTCTGTAGAGGATTCATACGAAATAAAAGTCTAAGGTGTGAGGGTGAAAATTTAGGACTATGGTTTTTTCTACAATCAGCGTGTTGGAAAGTAAGGCTAGGTTTTTATTTTGTTTTTATTTAGTTTTACTAAGTCGAAATAAATTCAGAAACATTATTAAACGGATTTAGTTTTACTAACAATAATTGGAAATAAATTTAGAAATATTATTAAGTATTTCTCTTTTTTATACTATTTCTATCTAAGGTAATAAAGCAAGATTGTGCAAAGAGTCTATAAATTGTGTTTTGTTCGTGGTAGAGTAATTATATATATATATATATATATATATATATATATTTTTTTTTTTTTGTTACAATTTATTTTTGTTAATCAAGACTTTAATGTCTTATTTACAAAATTGATATGAGCAAAAAAAAAAATACAAAAAAACACAAAATGCAATACATTGAATATAAAATGAAAAAAGTTGAAATAAAAATTAAATTAAAACAGTAATACAAAAATAATAACATAAATGAACGATGACGTGATGATGTATGCCGCGTACTACGTCAGGACGCGTGCAGACATTGGGCTAGGAGTTTGGTAGATCGGAAGGCCATTTCTTGCTCAATCTTCTTATCGGTCTCTGAATCGCTTGAATTGTAGGATTTGTATGCTGGATTAATTTGTTGTTAAAAGATGAACTTCTAATCTTGATCATTTCGTTGAAAATTCGAAATATACCAAGGCGCATTAGTAAGGATACGCAGAATTTTATTCTGGCACCTTTGAATGATGTTTATGTTAGATTTGCAAGAGCAACCCCATAGTTCGATTCCATAAGTCCAAATGGGCACTATGATAGTTTTATACAAAAGTACCTTGTTATCAAGAGAGATTTCAGATTTCCTCCCAAAAAGCCAGTAAAAATCTTTTATTTTCAGTTGGATTTGTTTCTTTTTATATTCAATGTGCGTTCTCCATGTCAATTTCGAATCAATGTGCATGCCTAAATATTTAACAGAATTGCATAGTGGAATTATTGAATTGTTCATGATGATAGGTGGACTATTGTGATGTTTTAGAGAAACAATTATGTGCTGAGATTTTTCGATATTGATTTTGATATTCCAATCTAAAAACCATTTTTCGAGACTAGATAAATAATTTTGTAACTGACAAGTTGCTGTTCTAATATCGGAATTGCATGAAATAATTGCTATGTCATCGGCGTAAGTGCATATGGTTAGAAGATCATCTGTGGGCATATCGTTTGTGAAAAGAAGATAAAGTACAGGGCTTAGCACACTGCCCTGTGGTACCCCGCATTCTATATTTCTGATGCTCGAAGTCACATCTTTAATTTTGATTCTAAATTTTCTATTAAGCAAATATGAGCTTAAGATATTGAAGTAGTTTGGAAAAGTTGTTTTGATTTTATATAGGAGTCCTGAGTGCCAAACCTTATCGAAAGCCTGACTGACATCTAAGAATACGGCTACACTGTGTTCCTTTCTATTCATGGCTTCAAGAATACGAGACACCGTTCTGTTGCATTGTTGAATTGTAGAGTGATTTTTTCTGAAGCCAAACTGATGGTGAGGAATCCAACTATCATTCGGATGATCTTCTGACAATCTCTGCAACAAAAGTCTCTCTAAAATTTTCGATAAATCGATAAAAGACTGATAGGACGGTATGAACTAGCAGTGTGATGGTTTTTGTTTGGTTTAGCGATCATAATAATTTCTGCAGTCTTCCACGCTGTGGGCCAATAATTGTATTGAAGTATGGCGTTGAAAATATTTGTTATATATAAGATACCTTTTGTAGGCAATTCTTTTAACATCTTTGGAGTAATTTTATCCATACCTGGCGAAGATCTATTTTTTATCCTTTTTATTTCACATAAGACATCATTTGGTGAAAAATGTCCTAACGGTGTAGAATGTATGGGTTGATTTACGAAATTGTTAATTAAATTATTCTGGGAAATATTTCGAGCGCTAAAAATGCTACTTAGATGATCAGCAAATGCCTCCGCTTTTTCTTCGTTGCTTTTTGCCCAAATGAATCCGTTTTGGTTGGTTATTTTCAGAGGAGGGTTTTGTTGTAGGGGTTTCTTTTGTTTCTGATTGGTTTCCATATGGAATTATCGTACCTATTTAACTGCAATATATACGACCTGAATGTACAATTCTTCCATTCTTTCATTTTTTTCCTCAGCGTGTTATTGAGATGATTAAGCGATGTCTTATCCGTTGGTAGATGAGAATGTTGCCAGGTTCGTCTTGCTCTTCGTTTCTGTGCAATTAGCTTCTTAATCTCTTGCGGAATTATTAGATTATCATTTCTTGGATTAATGTTCGGGGTGATCTGCTTGGTTGTTTCACGTACAATCTCAGAAAAATAATCTATATTATTTTCTATATCAATAACGCTTGTAGGCCTAGATTTTGGAAATAATTTTGAATCAAGTATGGATTTGAATTGAATCCAGTTAGAAAGATTGTTGTGTAGAATATGATTGTTGATAACTGGAGTAGGAAATGTGCTAAACGTCACAAGTATTGGAGAATGATCTGAAGAGAGATCGTAACTAGATTCAATATTGAGATTTGAAAGATCAATACCTTTCACAATAAAAAAATCTAAAAGGTCTGGAACTTTAGTAGGGTCAGAAGGCCAATAAGTTGGACTGCAAGTTGAAATAAAGGAGAGGTTATTTTGCCCTATGGCTGCATGAAGAATCTTTCCTTTGGCTGTAGTCAGTCTAGAACCCCAGGCAATATGTTTACAATTAAAGTCACCACCAATGATAAATTTATTACCTAATTGAGAGAAAAATGAAGAAAACTGAGCACAAGAAATTTTGAATCTTGGTGGACAATAAACAGCAGAAACACAAAAATTATATAAATTTGTTTCAACAGAAATTTGAGTTGCTTGTAGAAAATCATCAGAAATATTTGGTAGAACAAAATGCTTTATATTATTTTTGATTAATATAGCCGAACCGCCGCGAGCCCTGCCACTTGGGTGATTTGAATTATAAGTAGTGTAGTTATAAATTTTGAAGTAATTTTTTTCAGTGAAGTGAGTTTCTGAGATTAATAAGATATCTATTAAGTTTAACTTTAAAAAACATTCTACTTCATTTTTGTGAGGTATTAAACCGTTGGCATTCCATTCAGCAATTTTAATTATTTTTGCCATTGCTTTTGTTGTTGACTAACGTGGATAACATATTTATTATTATGGTGTTCTGTTGCAAAAGCTGATTGAAGATATTTTTAAATTCTAAAATAAGTGTTGCTAGAGAATCAGAATCAGGATTTGAAGGTGAATGATTAGAAGCAGAGTAATTGTTTTTTGCAATGTCTGCATAGGATGAATTTTGAATTGTTGGATTTAAGGCCGGAGAAATGTTGTTTATTTTATTATTAGAATTAGAATTATTAGAATTTTTAAAATTTTGGTTATTTGGATTTGGATTTATGACTGATTCATTTACTGGAGATTTGTTTCTTTGTTCTTTAATTTTTTGGAAGTATGAGCAACCGCGATAATTAGCTGGATGAGCACCGTCGCAAAAATAACAACATGCCGGAGCATTCGGATCTTTGGTACAAGCTATAGTATTATGATTGTCACCGCATTTTAGGCAAGCAAATGGTCTATTGCAGTATTTTTTGGTGTGATTAAAGAGTTGACAGCGAGTGCATTGTATAATGTTGTTGGACTTTCTCGGTGGTTCGACGCGTATTATGCAGTTGAATAATTTATAAATGTTATAAATATTTTTGTTATTTCTATTTGGTTCCAGATCAACAAAAAACATATTAAGAGGTTCTTTTGTTATTCTATGTCTAATATTTAGGATATTACGTACGACATGACCCTGTTTTAATAGTTCTAATTTAATTGCATCTGTGCTTGTTGAAAAGTGTACATTTCTAAGAACAACCCTATAAGCCTTCTCTTCTTTTAATTGATATGTATGATATACGGCATTAGTTTCTTTTAGATGTCTAGATAAAGTTCGAAAATGGTCGACAGAATTACATAGAATTTTAAATGTATTGTTAGCTAAACTTCTCAGGAAATATTGATCGTGCGGAATTATTTCATTTAATTGATTAGACATATCATTGATATCGTCAACTCCATAAATAAATATTGGAGGGGGCTTACTGACTGGAGCCGGTTTAACTGAGTTGTCATCATTAGCTGTTTCTATTGTTGAAAGGGCCGAAAATCGGTTTTGAATTTTGACATCTATTCCTAATGGTTCAAATGAAGTTTTTCTTTTTTTGAAATTGACTACTTGCCATGAATTAGGAGGTTTCTTGACATCAGAATGTGGTTGAGTGAGGCTTGTAGATGCACTATTACTAGATGATATTACTTCCTGTCTTGAGTCAGAAACTGATGAAGTTGAACGCAGCGAGACCTTTTCCGATGTAAACATATTGGTCCGACCTTCTTCGCGAGGTATCTTGCTGTATTTGCTGGATCCAATAACGGTCTTTCGTAGTTTTGGGATTTCTGATGGTTTACTGTCCGATTCCATATTCGCTTCTATATCTTGATTGAAATGTAAGACATTTTTTTGATTCCACAAACGCACATTAGAGTCTCGATTATGTATGGTTTTTTGTAAGCAATTATTTAATTATCTGTACACTTTTGTAAGCTTTTCATGCAATTTTAATAAACCGTAAAATTCAATCTGACATGCACTTGTTTTTTTTCCATATATATATATATATAATTATATATATAAGTGGTAGAGTAATTATATATATATAATTTATAAACTCACCAAATTCTCTAATGAGTGTTCTATCGCGCTGCTTTTTGCTGCTCTTACTGCTCCAATTTCTGCTTTTATCTCTTCTTACTAAAAATTAATACATTTAGTAAAAATTCATCTTCATCAAATCCATCTCTAAAAATTTCTTTTCTAAATTTAAATTTATTCGAAAATTTTGGAATACAATCTTATAACCAAGGACGTTAAATATTTTTTCTATAGTATATATTTTTATTAGTTTTTCTTCTATAAATCTATTTTTTTTTAATGTCTTCTGTCTAAATATTTCTAAATATTTATATTTTAATCAGTCTTTATGTTTTAATCAGTAATTTATATCTCTGATAATAATATTTATATAAATTTTGGATATATTTGTTTTTTTTTTAATATTTACCTCCTTTTGCGCCTTTTGAGCTGCAGCACAAAGTCAAAGCAAAACTGTCTCGAAAGCTTTTTGACATAAACCCGTAGACAATCGGATTTATACAGCTAAAAAAATTTTATTATAATTAATTTTCTATATACCAAAAATTAAATTCATATTCATATTAAGTCCTTTAAAAATTACATGGAATACAGTAAATAAATGCACAAATAAGATGTTAATACAAGAAAATTGATGTAGTCTAATTTAGTACAGCCGGATTATAGGTAAATTACGTCATAGTTCTTTGCCATATAAATTGTTTTTGTAAACATTTTAGTTATATTACTCCAACATGACTACTAAATGAATTAGTTATTTAAAATGTATCTCATACATTTGAAACTTGCTTCTATAGTGCTTGAGTTCACAAAAGATTCCTGTTTTAAAAATCGTAAAATCCGGAACACAAACCATCTCCAATACCTAGATGCCGCCTGTCTTTCGGTATCTATTATAATATTATCTTTTATTATAATTCCCCTAATCTCTAGAAAAGGTATCCATTATCCTTTACCTGTTTCTTATTTCCCTACCTGTTGAAATAGGCCATGAGATGGAACGCGGTGTGCCAGTGCTTGTTGGGTCCCTGTCTGACCGGAGATCCAAGGCCAAAAGAGGTCATAACATTGTCCACCAGCAACGGAGACCAGCAGACCGCGAAAAGGGTAACAACCACCGACAGCATGTGTATCACCTGTCTGACCATCTTCTGTTCGGAGCTGGAGGTCCTGGGACCGATTCGGCGCCTCTTCACTTTACCTGGTAAATGACAGAGATGTAAAGAAGAGTAGCATACCTCAACCTGCTGTTTTATATTTGAGAATATTAGTGCAGTAAACAGAGCGTTTTAGGTCTGAATTTTTTTACTGTGCGTTGAATGAAATTTTGGAATTAGGTTCATCTTACCCTCAAGTTCAAAAGTGAAAACAATTCGGATGACACCCCTTCTCAATTGTGTAATTAAATTTTTTCAAAATAACGTCGGAAATCGATAGAAGAACAAATTATAAGAAAAACTAGTGGGGTGTATGGCATCGTGCCTTAAGGCAAATTGCTGGAACTTCCCGTACCGTAACAAAATGTTCGAGGAGTACTGAATGTTTTTAAATAGATTATTATAAATATTGTAACATTATTGTAATTATTTTCGATATACAAAAAAAACTAAAAAAAAAAATTATACAGTTTTTTTTTCCAAAATCAATTATTTTCTTAAGACAAGTAGAAAGTTCTTTGAATCATTTAAATCGGACTCTTAGTTCTCTCAAAAACTGCCATTTTTTACATATTTAGCTCCGTATCTTCGAAATGGCTGGGCCTGCCTTTGCCAAAAACTAATAAACACTTCTCCCAATCATTACTAATTGAATGTTTTTTAGATCATTCAAATCGGATACTCCGTTCTCTCAAAAAGTCGATTTCTATTTTTTGCGCTTGTTGCTCCGTATCTCCGAAACGGCTAGACCTGCCTTCGCCAAAAACTAATTAGTTCTTTTCCCTATCAATAGGAATCGAATGTTTTTTGAACCATTCAAATCGGTTGATCCGTGCGCCCGAAAACGTGACTGGAAATTTGTATCCATACATACATACACACACACACACACATCCATTTTTTCTGAAGTATGCCAAAACGTTCAGAAACTTTTAAAACGTCGAGAAATGTAAAAATTTTCAATTCCGATTTTCGGCCCATTACAATAACTTACCCTACGGGAAGTTAAAATGTCTTTTATAGTTTTTCAAAAAAACTAATACTTTTCAAGTTACTGGCCACTAAAGATTCATATATTTCAGGCGTTTTTTTTTGTTTTTTTGCAAATATCTCCTGAAATATACATTTTAATGAAAATCATGTAATGAACAAAATATTGTCAATAAAAATCTTAATAAATCGGTATTACATAAAGTGCTCTAGGAAAAATATTAAGCAAGATTTGAAAGAGCAAAGTTGATTTTTTATTTCGTTCAAGATTTAATTGTTGTATTTAAAGCCATCTAGTGTCGAGGTTTTACATTTTATGCATTTCGGTGAAATTGGGTTTTATAGTGCTCAATATTATTTAAAATGAGTGCTGTTACAAGTTTTTTGCGTGTAAAATGAGTCAGCTATCATGCAAATAAGAAGTATATACAAAGTTTTTTTCTTTCAAATCATATGGTTTAATGAGCGAAATTTCCACCAGAATTAAAGTAATTCACATTCCATCTAGAATTCACTTCATTATACACATCTTAATGGATTTTAGCAGATTCACTACTTTAGTACAAACTATTTTCAGAAAACTCACGATTTTATAAAAACTTTTTTTTCCAATTTGCTTTGCTTTCCTAGAATACTTTATGTAACACCGATTTATTAAGATTTTTATTGACATTATTTTGTTCATTTACATGATTTTCGTAAAAATGTATATTTTAGGAGATATTTGCAAAAAAACGAAGAAAAACGCCAAAAATATATGAATGTTTAGTTACTAGTAATTTGAAAAGTATTAGTTTATTTGAAAAACTATAAAAGACATTTTTTTTCTTATAATTAGTTCATCTATCGATTTCCGGCGTTATTTTGAAAAAATGTAATTACACAATTGAGAAGGGGTGTCATCCGAATTGTTTTCACTTTTTGAACCTAATTCCAAAATTTCATTCAATTCGGAGCACAGTAATAAAATTCAAAAGTTATAGCCTTTTTGCCTCTCCGTTTACTGCACTATATAATATATACATCACTCACCTTTGTGTAATTTTTGCATAACAATATAGTTCTTAGGATCCCCCAATCCATTTTCCACTAAACTATCATCCGCTACCGAATTGTCGGTACAATTATTATAAAACCCTGCTGCAGAAGTAACTTCCCCGTTATCACAGACTAAATTATACGACTTGCTATTAAAACTATTTGCGTTCTCATTGGGAGAAACATCCTTGCTGGCACCGACATCTTCAGACTGATCATTGCCGGAATTGTTGTTGGACTTATTGGAATCATCCTTTTTATCACCATCATTTTTATCATCTTGTTTCAAAAGTCCTGAATCTTCTTCCTGATAATTTACTTTCCCGCAGGATGTTATTTCGCCGCCTATGGGTCGCCCCGCCGAGGATTGAATTCGGGGGTCCATCTGGCGGCCTCCGGTCATCCGGTGTCTTCGCTCGGTCACTTTCCAGATTTCGCAACAGATAGCGGCGTAGCATAGGGACATCGCAGCCGTCGGAGCCAGGAGGACGAGGACTAGCATGTAGATCTGAAATAATAAAAATAAATATTGCTGTAAATAGCATTTTGCCTTGAGGCAAGTTGCTCGAATTTTCAGAAATTTGCAAATAATCTACTTAACTAGCTGTAAGTGGAATTCTGTCTTTAGGCAATTACGGCAACGTGCCTTAAGGCAAATTGCTGGAACTTCCCGTACCACAATTCAAAATTCGAATAATTAAAAATAATCAATAATAATCAATAAAAGTTGATCAATGATATGAAACTTTTAATAAAATTTCGAACCATATTAAATCATTCTATCTTAAATTTATTTTGAAATATTTTGAAAATTCTAAACTTTTTTTCAAAGCAATCGTACTGCTTTAACTACATAAAGACGAAATATCGAAGCGCGTAGGTCGTCGCCGTCTAACGCATAAACATTAGTACGGAACCCATAGGAATGTAAACAAAATTTATACTTATTGTTAAAATCTCTATAAAATATCTGATAATTTAATGTGCATATGTCTAATGGTCATTTTTGACCACCAAATGGCTCATTTTTTTGCTAGATCTCCGAAACCGCTACATGAAAATTTGATCAATTCTTCATCTTGTCAATACAAGTAAAATGTTTTTTGAATTATTCTAATCGGACCTCCGTTCTCTTAAAAACGGAGTTACCGTTTTCGGCACTTTTTGCCCCGTATCTTCGGAACGGCTAGACCTGCCTTCGCCAAAAACTAATCAGCACGTCTCCTTATCAATACGAATCGAATGTTTGTTGAATTATTCAAATCGGTTGATCCGTGTTCCCGAAATCGTCGACAAAATTTGTATCCGCACACACACACACACACATACATCCATTTTTTCTAAGGTATGACAAAATGTTCAGAAGATTTTGAAACGTAAAGATATATAAAAATTTTCATTTTCGATTTTTTTGCGATTATTATAACTTGCCCTATGGGAAGTTAACTAGTGGTGCTAATTGCAAGAACTTTCCTTAATGTAATTTAACATTTTCAAAAGCTCTATAATTGTGAAAAAAATTTTTTTGCTGATATTGATATTTTTGAAAAAAAATGAACTTTTTTGAAAATCTTGAAAAATTTGAAAAAATATCGATTTTTTTTTAAATCTTCATATTTTTGAAGACATTCAAACAAATTTGAAATTATTTTATTAAATATATATTAAGTATTTTTGAAATTTTTGAAAATAATGAGCTTTTTAAAAATTTTGAAAAAATTGATGAAGGATAGATTTTTTTAAATGTTGAAGTTTTTGAAGAAATTCAAACAAATTTGAGATTATTTTATAATTTTGATTTTTTGGTCAAAAGTTTCCCTTTTTTTGACTCATAAAATTGCCATTTCTGGCACTTTTTGTCCCGTATTTCCGAAACAGCGAGTCCTGCCATTGCCAAAAACTATTACGTCTCTTTACCGGTAGGAATCGAATGTTTTTTGAGTTATTCAAATCGGTTGACGAAAAACTGTATCCGCACACACATACACACACAGACATCCATTTTTTCTAAGGTATGCCAAAATGTTCAGAAACCTCTGAAACGTACAGATATATAAAATTTTATATTCTCGATTTTTTTGGAAGTTAATATATAAACTAGTGGTGCATGGCATTGTGTCTTAAGGCGAATTGCTGGAACTTCCCGTACCGTAATTGATCTATGCAAAATCACAATTGTTCTGAATATTTTCAAATTAATTAAATAAAACTTTTATATCGGAGTATATAAAAGTGTTCCATAGAAAATATTGTAAATTTTATCTAGTTTCACCGTATCTAACTGAAAATAGATGGTTTTGCTAAAATTGTCTTAAATTTTTTGTGTCTTTGCATTCAGAAACCTAAATCCTTCTGTACAAAACGTAAAAATTATTTTACTAACTCCAATATATTTTTATTGTTTAACAAATATTTGTAGTATTTAATTGAACTTATTATTTATCCTCGGCAAACTCTTAAAATCCTTTTTCTCATTGATTTTCTTTCATTTTATTTATTTTATGTATTTTAGCCTCGCGATGTCCTTCCTCTTCCGAGTAAACAGCAAATTCAAACATTTACAAAACGATATTTTTTTCATTATTTATATCTGTTGTCTTATACTAAATAATACTATTATTAATATTGATCGAATAATAATCCCTCGACCTACCTACTCAAAAGTCGTTTTTCAATGTTAAACAAGAGAAATGATGTTTTTGCAAACACTATGCACTTTATCTTCAGATTTATATTCTTGAATTATAATTTTGTTCGCAGTAGACGCGAAATAAATTAGAATAAATTATAAAAAATGGGAAGGATGGACTTGTGATTTATTTTGATGCAGAATACTAAGATAAATTTAAAATTGAAATGGCATTTATTATAACTATGATTTATTTAATTTTGTACAAATTTACTAAATATTTTATGTATTTTACATGAACTGTTTAAAAGTTACAAGACAAATAACAAATAAATGCATTAATTCATAAAAAAACTGAGCGCGCGCTTATTTACATTCATAATGTCTATTTATAAGTATACAGAGTTGCTATAGGGTATTATAATGTCAGAAAATTTTATCAACTGTTTAATTTTCTATAAAGTTTTCTAATATTTATTAATATTATATATTTTAATACAAACAAACCGTTTAAAAGTTAAAACAAATTTAATAAATAAATGCGCCAACGAGTTGCATTGCTAAATCATCATTGCAACTATACTTGAATAAGGATTAAAAAGTTATGCATTTTCAGTCGTCATTTTAAAATACACCGAGTTGCTGTAGGGTACCATAATATTAAAAGATATTAAAGATTATTTAATTTTAAACAAATTTGTCAAATATTTTATTTATATTAAACAAACGGTATAAAAGTTACAAGGGATATCATAAATCAATGCACGGTTGAAGATGCAGTTTGCAATTGAAAAAGCGAATCTGGTAAACGTTTTTGCAATTTGAAAGTATACCGAGTTGTTGTAGAGTCTTTAGATATTAGAAAAATATATAGATCGTTAAAATTTGAATAATTTTTTCTCACAAATAATTTATATCAACCGAATGGTTTTTTATTTACAAAGCGTGCAAAACATAAATGTACTTTTGGAGCATTCATATAAATTTTACACTTTTGAAGTCAATTTTAAAGTACACCGAGTTGTTGTATGGTTATATAATGTTAAAGAATATTATAGAGTATTAAATTTTGTACAAATTTGACCAAAAATTGCTTCTATTCTTTCAAAATTAATTAAATAACAATAAATTTCCTTTACCCTTACCTCGTAGGCTCTCCATAGAGTAACGTTGTCCCAATCGCGGACGCACCAGTACGCCTTGAATTTCTCGCCCACTTGCATTTGCACCTTAGAAAAATCGGGTAAAAATTACAAAAATCCCGATTTTTATATTTTATTTATTTAAGGCACACATTAAAGTTCTCGTTTGTGTAAATTACCTGTGCAAAAAGTATTGGTATGGCTAGCAAAAGTGATGCTAACCATATGCCTGCAATTATTCTTCTGGCTTGACTTACTGTGCAAATGTATCGGGCTTTCATGGGGTGGACGATGGCGTAATATCTGGGAAAAATATAAATTTAAATTATAATTAATTGAAATTAGTATAAAGAATTAGTTCATTCTCAAAATTCTTAATTTATTTTTATTTTCATATATATTTTATAACTTTTTATAAGATTATAAAAAATACATATATGCCCACACTACGAATCATTTTGGATATTTTTGTATTATATTAATTAAAAAGCTGTATCATTATGATTTCTAAAACTATTCGGTATTTTTAAACTTTCTAATCTTAATTGAAAATAAAAAATTGACTCGTGCAATAAGTTTAACATAATAACCACGAACGATGGAAATTATGTACTAGAAATTCTCTTCTCTCATAATGAATATAAAATTTAAACAGACCTTCATGAATATAGTTTATCACAAAGTTTTTCAGCTTTTTATATGAAATAACTGTTTGAAATTATTAATTAAAATCGATGTGAAAGGGCTTTCGAACAATTTGAAACGATTTGATGTTACATAACAAATAACTAATAATCGACATGGAAGTAACTATTATATAACTATTAGTGAATTGACTGAATTATACGCAGTTGATGGAAATATCTAGTAGTAACGATATTATATGTATATATATATATATATATATATATATGTGTGTGTATGTATATAAGAAATCGATATGAAACATGAATGAAACGTCTGTGATTTATCGTTTTTCGTTTCATTAGACAATAATTTTCCGGTCATTTTAGCAAAATCATTCATTACTGAAACAAACAGCCAATTAAGATAGAATATAATATATATCTATAATATATATTATATATTTTATTTGAATGGTCTTTAAATTAAGGTTCATATAATATATTTTATTTGAGTTTAAAAATCGGGCGTTACATCAATAAAAAATAGAATGAGAGTTTTTAGAAATTTATTTAAAATCCATACGTTTCTGCTAGCATCTTAACCTTCATTCAGTGGCAATCAATATAAAAATTAAAACTAAATAAATATGTAAAAAAATTGAAGGAAAACAATAATAATGATAAAAAACAATAATAATGATAAAAAACAATAATAAAAGGTATGAGAATGTATGTCATCATTCAGTAATCACCAGGTCAAAAGCATGAAACTTATACATCTTAAAAAAATTAAATGTTTTGACTGAATTTATTGCAAAACCATAATTATTAGAAAAATAAGAATTATTACTATTATAATATTTAAATGAATAATAGAAAAAATCATACTGTGTAACTTGTAAAAGAGACAAAACCAATGTCAATTGACATTACATTTAAATTTTCATTAAATTTCGTTCGCTTTTGATCTGGTGATTACTGCATGATGACACACATCAAGTGTCGAAACGTATAACTAAAAAAATGTTTTTTCCTTAATTTATTAACTTCTTAACTTATAGGGTAAGGTAATACACCGAAAATCTAAATTGAATTTTTTTGCATATCTTCACGTTTCAGAGGTTTCTAAACGTTTTGTCATTCCTCAAAAAAAAATGGATGTGTGTGTGTGTTTTGTGTGTCCGCATTTTTTCGTCCACGTTTTCGGCCGCACGGATCAACCGATTTGAATCATTCAAATAACATTCGATTCTTATTGATAGGAAGATGTGCTGATTAGTTTTTGGTAAAGGCAGGTCCAGGAGATACGGAAATCCGAGCAAAGAGTGCAGAAAATAGAAGTCGAGTTTTTCATGAAAATAAAACCACAAAACTTAGTGAAAAAATCGGTGGATAGATATCTTTGAAAATTTCATAATTTTTTCACTAAGTTTTTGTGGTTTTATTTTTATGAAATTTTCAAAGATATCTGTACACGGATTTTATATATTCAATTTGTAATGATTGAGAAAAGTGGTGATTAGTTTTTGTAAATGTAGGTCCAGCCATTTCAAAGATGCAGAGCTAAATGAACAAAAATGGTAGTTTTTGAGAGAACTAAGCACCCGATTTGAATGATTTAAAAAACTTACTGTGTTGACAAAACAATTGAGTTTTTTTTTCTAAAAAAATTGTTTTTTTGCATATCGAAAATGATTTAGATTTAATTTTAAATCTGGCTCTTTAATTTTAAAGTTCTAAAGCTTACTTATATACTTTAAATAAATAATTTCAACTTTGCAATCAGTTTATATAATTCTTATAAATATTAGACAATGTTACAATATTTACAATCTATTTGAAAACATTTCGTTACGGTACTGGAAGTTCCAGCACTTTGCCTTCAGGCACGATGCCATACACCACTAGTCAAATATGTTTCAATGTTGAAAAAATTTCAAGCTATTTATATATATATATATATATATATATATATATATATCATTTTTGCTTACCTTTCTATGCTCATTGCAGTCAAAGTGAGTACTGAGCAAATTGCAGAAACATTCTGCATATAATGCACCGATTTGCATAAAAATAAACCCAGAGCCCACGTGTAGGAAAATAGTTTTGCAATCTGAAATAAAAAGAAACAAATATACTACTCGATAAATCTAAAATAATAACATATACATACATCAAATTTTAAAATTACAAAAGCATGTAAAAGCATGAAAAAGCATGAAAAATGTAAAAAGTTTTCTTTTTAAAGCTCTGGTGTTTGTTTCTGTTCAAGAATTTTTTTATATATAAATTTTAATTGTCATTAGAAACTATTACACTTACACAGCAGTTTTTTTAATATTTATTTACACTAGTAGTGTATGGCATCGTGCCTTAAGGCAAATTGCTGAAACTTTCCGTACCAGAATTAAATACTCGAGGGAAAAAATTCAGTAATCAATAAATATTACAATTGTTTTAAATATTTTCAATTAAATAATTATAAATACTGTATATTTTATCATATATTCTATAGCCACGATCTTATCACATAAAACACTTGAAAATGTTTACATTAAGAAGAAATGTTGAATGAATCCATCTGAGGATATATTTTTCACGAGTAGAATAACGCATATGAAATATATTAGGTATTTGAAGTATATAAAAACTTTGTATATTTTTGAAAATTTTGAAAAAGAAAAATTTCTGATGATTTTGAAATTTGTTCGAACCGTATAAATATCCAAACATACATATATATATATATATATACACACACATACATTAAGTTTTCTAATATATGCCAAAATGTTCAAAAACCTCTTCAAAAAAATATATAAAAATTTTCATTTTCGATTTATTTGCGATTACTAAAACTTACCCTACGGTAAGTTTACACGTATATAAATAAATCAACTCCAAATACTCCTTGTACCAAAAAAATCATTAAAATTATTACTTTATCCATTTATTCAGACTTTTCCCTATTTTGATTTAATTTACTAATAAATAAAAAAGTGCACTTCAAGTACAGATAAATATCTAAATTATTTTTCCAATGGTAACAATTATTTTCTTCGAGCAATTTCTATGTAGTTACTCTTTGAAACCCATTCAGGATTTAAATGGGATTGCTTCGATAGTTTTTGTACTGTAATTCATATGTATATATACACATGAAAATATATAAATATGTGTGTGTGTGTATGTGTCGATATAATAATGGAAATTCTGCCACCGCCCTGGGGGGCTTTGGGGGCTTCGTTCGTTCGTTCGTTCGTTCCATAATCTGCCTCTTCAGATCGAATATTCACGGTCGATTACGCGATTCCATTCTTACATGGGCCAAACTGAATTGCACATTTATTAAACTTAATTCCATACACACACACCTACATAGTAAACATGTATATACATACACTGGGTGTCCCAGAACTCAACGAAAAGCCGAAACATCTTAACAAAAAAGTTAAAATAATTTATCACGCATTGTTTAAAAATTATGAGCTTTTAAGTGCAACCTAGAGCTTTGGTCAAAATGTGACCATTTTTTGGTTATTGTGGTTAATTTTTTTTACTTTTGTTTATTTAAACTTTAGAACCTTAAACATGAATTAACATTTCTAGGACCACAGTGAAAAATAATGACACAATTGCCCCAAGTTTTTCCATAATTGTTTTGAAATGAATAAAAATTGCATTTCTTGATGATTTTATAAAATTATAACTTTTTTTACTTAAATTTAAAAAAAATATTTAAACGCATAATGGACTATATAAATATATGGATAAATAATTTAAATTCAAAATTATTCAGTGGAAATAACAAATTTCACTTTTATCTGAAGAACTAACCATCATATATTTTGTCATTTTTTCTCAGAAGCAATGTTTCACATGCTAATCTATATAAATTTAAAAAAAGTTTAGAACTATATAAATTCATATCATTCATATAAAATAAAATTTATATGTATTATTTTTATTTCTCAAAATTATCTGTACTAATATGTGTCAATAAGAACCTGTGCAATGGATTAGTTAATTTCCTGGACTTTTTCATCAGGAAATATCTACAGGTATCTAATATATTAAACTATGTAATCGAATTGGATAATATAATGGAAATTGCCCAAGTTTTTAAGAATTACTTTTTGTAGAACTATAAATTTAAAATTTTCAAAAATCGATCGACTTTGAGAACCTCTCCTTCAAAAAAATGCACTAAAGTGTGTAGACAAGTTTAATCAAAAGTAGGTGCATTTAATCAGGATTATAAAAATTTTTGTAATAAAAAAATTCGAGTAAAAAATAAAAACCTAAAAATAACATCATTTTCTTTAGGCAGAGAAGCATGTTAACATTAATTTAGCCCTTATAGTGTTATTTTTAGGTTTATATTTTTTACTAGAATTTTTTTATTATAAAACTATAAAGTATTTTACCATTTTACAATTTAGATTTAAATGCACTAACTTTTGATGAAATTCGCCGACACACTTTAGTACATTTTTTTTACACACGAGGGCCTCTCAAAGTCGATCGAATTTGAAAATTTTGAATACACAGTTCAATGGTTTAATTCCTAAAAACTTGGGACAATTGTGTCTTTATTTTTAAATTTGGTTCTAGAAATGTTATTCAAAGTTATGCATTCAAAGTTTGAATGAACAAAAATAATCAAAATTAAGCACCAGGAACAAAAAATGGTCACAGATTCACTAAAACTTTGGGTAGCACTTAAAAGCTCACATCATTGGTGAATTGTAAATTGGTGAAATACTTGATAGTTTTATAATAAAAAAATTCGAGTAAAAAATAAAAACCTAAAAATGACATGATTTTTGCTAGTGCGAGAGAGAAACATTTGAACTTGAAACGCGTTAGGCGTTATTTTAGGTTTATATTTTTTACTTGAAATTTTTTATTATAAAACTAAAAAGTAATTCACCATTTTACAATCCTGATTAAGTGCACTAACTTTTGACGAAATTTGCCTACACACTTTAGTACACATTTTTTTTAAAGGAGGGCCTCTCAAAGTCGACCAAATTTGAAAATTTTGAATTCACAGTTCAATTGTTTAATTCCTAAAAACTTGGACAATTGTGTCTTTATTTTTAAATTTGGTTCTAGAAATGTTATTCAAAGTTATGCATTCAAAGTTTGAATGAACAAAAATAATCAAAATTAAGCACCAGGAACAAAAAATGGTCACAGATTCACTAAAACTTTGGGTAGCACTTAAAAGCTCACATCATTGGTGAATTGTAAATTGGTGAAATACTTGATAGTTTTATAATAAAAAAATTCGAGTAAAAAATAAAAACCTAAAAATGACATGATTTTTGCTAGTGCGAGAGAGAAACATTTGAACTTGGAATGCGTCAGGTGTTATTTTTAAGTTTATATTTTTTACTCGAAATTTTTTATTATAAACTATAAAGTATTTCAATATTTTACAATTCTGATTGTATGCACCAAGTTTTGATGAAACTTGCCAACACACTTTAGTACATTTTTTTTAAAGGAGGGCCTCTTAAAGTGGATCAAATTTTAAAATTTTGAATTCACAGTTCAAAGTCTTAATTCCTGAAAACTTGGGACAATTTTGTCATCATTTTTGACTGTGATACTAGAAAAGTTATTCAAGGTTATGGATTCAAAGTTTGAATGAACAAAAATAATAAAAATTAAGCACCAGGAACAAAAAATGGTCACAGATTCACTAAAGTTTTGGGTTACACTTAAAAGCTCATAATTTGAGATAAATTATTTTTCTAATTTTTCGTTGAGTTCTGGGACACCCTGTATATACATTCTTGAACCATCAAAACCAGAAAACACTTTTTGTTGACTTCTACAAGAAAAACATGGAAAAAGGTTGTTTTAGCTTTGTCACTTTTTCATCTTTCTAAGAAATCAATCACTACAACTGTCTTAATGCGTTTTTTGCCCCGAACTTACTATATTTGTAAAAGTGGAGTCAAAGATATCGTAAAAGACTGTTTGTTGCCCCAAAATATAAGACCAATTGATCTTTTTTTTATTTATTAATGATTATTTTGATTCCTCGATTAATTACGTCACGGAGGTACCAGCAGTTTTCCTTAAGGCACAATGCCATGCACCACTAGTTATATATACATCTTTAATTTGAAATTCACTGAGCATTTAATTTTACAGTAATTAAATTATCTTAGTTAAACTAGTTGATGTTAATGGCATTAACCCTAAATTACCTAAATACATTAAAATTATGTAATGCAAGAACATTAATTAAAAAGATGAAAGGCAGAGTAGCATGATGATAAATTGTATAGTATTCAAAATTAATAAAATTTTCGAGCTATTTCTGAAATCAAATTTTATTTAAATTATTTTACTTAATATCAAACAATGATCAGTAATAGATTTAGATTCAAAATAATAACAAATTAGAAAATTTAACAACTTAAAAATTAAAAAAGCAGGGCAAGAAAAAGGGTCTCGTTAGTTTTCCTGAGAAAATCTGACACATTTGTACGAAAAAATATAAATGCATATATATATATATATATATATATATAAATATATATATATATATATATATATATATATATACATATATGTAGGTTTTACGATAACGATGCAACGAACCATAAAAGTAGCTTACATATCGACATGAAATGCAAAAAGATGTATCGGAAAAATATTTTTCCGGTAACAGTAATTGGCAGTTTGCATTCAATACATACACACACACCCATATATATATATATATATATATATATATACATATATATATATATCTTATATATATAAATAAAAATCTATATAAATCCTTCTTGTGTAAAATTGAAAATCAAAATATAAATGAGTTATATTTAAATACACATTTCGCACTCTGCTGAATAAATCGATAATATTTTAAATAAAATTGTTGTGGGTATGTTTAAATGCTTGTAAAATATATATATATATATATATATATATATATATATATAATAATTTCACATTTAAAATGAATCCCATTAACAAATCTAAATATTTTTCATTTTTTTATGCAAATGTATGTAATTGAATGTTCCAAGTGAGAAAAAATATTCCTTTTTTAAATAATTTTACGATGAAAGGTGATATGATTTAAAA